AATTTTGCGTGCAGTCTGGAGTGGTTAGTGTGGCCGCCGAAGCTAACGCTATTTTTAACTCTCTGTCGTCCAGTCAAGAAGGGCTTTTAGGTTTCACATACCGACGAAGTAGTACATCCTTAGTGGCCTGCAAGCAGCTTTGTGGTTCTGCGGCAGCTATGAGAATATCCTCATACATACTGCACCATCAAACAGTCCTATGGTAGCACGAGGTCACACAGTTTGTCTTTCAATACTTGGTTAAAGTACCAGGAGATAACTTGTTTGTGTTAATATTGATAGATAGGAGGGGTGGGCTACACGGTGGCCCGGCTGATAACAGCCCATAGGAACTCCCCCAGGTGGGCCTTGCTGTTTGGGCTTCCCCTGAGACGGAGTCTGCTGGGGGGGCTGTCCCTGCTTGCTGCTGCTGCTGCTGCACTGTTTGTCTTTGAGTTTTGTTCTGCTTTTTGTCTGTGCTCGCCTCTGCACGAGCTTTTGCCAGTTGTAATTTCAACAGCTCTCATCTTGTTGCCTGTCTTTCACTGTACTGTCTTGGGGCATCGAAGTACTCCTGGAGGTAATATATACAATGTCTACGCCACCTGTGGTAAATCAGGGTTACTGATTTTTTTTTTTTTTTACTGTTGAAGATAAGCCAGCCCAGTGTCTACACCACATGGTGTAAATCATGTGTGGTAAATCAGGGTTACTTTCCATTTTTTTTCTTTTACTATTGAGGGTAAGCCAGCCATAACAGCTGCTTGATACATTCTGCCAGACAGTAGGTCATTTTTGGGCTGTGGTCCTACTGCATTTAGCCATATTTCTATTGATTTATCTAGGAACTGAGCAGCACTTTCCCCAGCAATAACTTGTCTATCAGTCACGAACCAAGGTTCATAACGATCTGTTGGACCTCCTGGACCCACTCGCAGTGGACACGTACTGTATTTAGCCCCGCTACGAGTAAAGCCCCATGCATTGACTCCTCGTATTTTTGCTCCTATCTTATCGTGACGTCGTTGTCTGACTGGTCCTCTGCATCGTGGTCATATATTGTCATTACTCTCGTCTGGGTCAGACTCACACCATTCTAAATTCCTCAGTCGCTCAGCAGTAAATTGTTTGTGTTTTGAAGAAGACTGGGGGGGGGTCAGCATCTCATCCCTGTTTTTTTTTTTTTTTCGTCTTTACTTCCCTTTCTCTTTTCAGTCCTGTTTTCTGGTGCGTTTTCTGCATCTTTTATGTCATAATTCACTGTCCCGGAAAATGCCATGTGTTTTTAACTTCTCCGTTTTGCTCTGTTTTTTAATATATGGGGGTTTTTAACTTCTCCGTTTTGCTCTGTTTTTAAAATATAGAGGTGGAGGCGCGCTTGGTGTTACAGATACCTGCATTTTTTTTGTCGCTCTACTCTTCTCTCTCTCTCTCTCTCTCCCTATGTCACTTGCCCTAACCATAGCTAGAGAAGTTATTGCAGGTGTATGAATGAAGTGTCTGTGACTCTCCTTTTCCTTAAGTTTTTTTTTTTTTCTTTAACTTCTTTCGGGCTTTTCTAGATGTCTCTAAATCTTGCGTCTTTTAGGGGGACCCAATCGTCCCCAGGGTTTAGACCTCTGTCCAACAGAACAAACCTGACTGATCCTTACCGCGTCCGGCTCGGCCCCGTCACGGGGAGTCAATTATCACACACAGAGAATTCTTTTAAAAAAATATTATTACTATAACACTTCACTGCCTTCTGAAATTATTATTTTTTTTGTTTGTTTGTTTTTTCCTGGCCGTAAGTAGCAGGGCTAATTTCTCCAATTGGATTATTCCTCATTGTAATTGCACAGAAAAGTGGAAACAAATGCAGCAAAACTGTTGAAAACCTGGGACGCTGTTGAACTGTGAATGATAGCTGCTGTTCTCGTGTGTATTGCAGCTGTTTTTATGTTATAATAAAGTAGATAACTCAACCTAATGTTCCATTACCTAATCACTAATGCAACACAAACGTATGTCGAGTGCTCCACATTAACCGCCTCCAGAGAATGGGACAAGGTCAATGTATTAGTTTCAACAGGCCCAACCCGCAGCTACAGTAACTGCAGAGTTTGTTTCCAGGGGAGGGAGTTTTAATGCTAGGAACCTGCAGCTGTGACCTAGACCGGTGTTCCAAAGGTTAGACCTACAGGTGATATGCATGTTTCATATCACCTGTAGGTGATAGGACTTTTTTTTTTTTTTTTTTTTACATTTTAAATAACATCATTCTAGTTTGTTTTGAATTGATTGGAATTGCACACACTGTATCTTTAAGACTCTTGTGTTGATGTTCTTGTTGCAGGCCTGTGCCAGAATACATCACCGGGTCACTGTGTGTCTCCTGTCACCCAGAGTGTCGACCTCTCAATGGCTCTGTCTCTTGTAACGGCCCAGTAAGTGAGATCACGGCGATGTCGGAGAAGTGTTTGGGACCCTTTCTGTTTAAAATATGCCCGCGATAGGGCACTTTGTAGTATTATAACTTTGAAAGCACTTTCGGTTGCTTTAGTACTTCATTCCTGGTGAATACTTTGTAATGATGGTGTCTATATATGTGGAAGATTTGCCTGAACTTAAATGTGTCTAAAACAGACGTAAGCAAACTTTTTGGCTCGCGGACCACAACTGTCCTAAAATTCGATGTTGGGCCGAGGAGCAGATAGATGGAGTTGGTGTGAACTAAGATAAATGACATGCAAAAGTCATGCATAAAATGCTAAAATGCTTTTATCATTTTCTACTCCATCTATTGGGGAAATGTGGGTATTGCAGGGAAAAGGCAAAAATATAATGATAATAAATAAATTATATAATTTGGAAAAGTGTAGCGGGCCGGACTCAAAAGCTGAACGGGCCGCATCAGGCCCCCGGGCCTTAGTTTGCCCATGTCTGAGGCAAACTCCCCCCCCCCATGTACTTCCTGTCTGTCCTATAACACCTCAACTTCTCACCCATTTCTCTTGTTCAGTTTTGTTGAAATACATCTTCACGGTTGTGTCTCCAGGGGGCAGAACACTGCACAGAGTGCCGTAGCTTCCAGGACGGAGACTCCTGCGTGGACCACTGTCCCAGTGGGGTGAAAGAGGACCAGCAAACAGTGTGGAAGTACAGCAACGCCACGGGACACTGTCTGCCCTGCAATATGAACTGCTCGCTGTCGTGAGTGCTCACACAGTTCAGCAGCACACCAGGCCTTGGGTGTGATGCTAAAACTCCCTAACGCACCTGGTGTTCCTCTGTTTCAGCTGTACCGTGATGGACGAGAGGGGCTGCCCCATCGACACCAGGACTGGGTGGGTCGCATGACTACTAGAACATAAATTTTCTGTTCAGTTTTTTTTTTTTTTAAATTTCATTGACAGTACCGAAGTGCATCCCTCCGTGTTCCTTATGCTGCTAAATTGCATTTCGCTCACGGTCGAACTGTGCTTTCTGTGTGCAGACCGGCTACGACCATCGCAGCTGCAGTGGGCGGTGTGTTGCTTTTCTTCATCCTGCTGGGATTGCTCATTTTCTACCTGAAGAGGCAGAAGAAGCTGAAGAGAAAGGAAACCATGAGAAGGATCCTGCAGGAACACGAGGTGAGTACTGACAGAACAGAACCGTTGATCCCCAAAAAAAAAAAAAAATTCTCTTTTGAATGTCTTCGCTTTGTCCTTGTGTCCAGCTGGTTGAGCCTCTCACACCTAGCGGTGCGTCACCAAATAAGGCTCAGATGCGCATCCTGAAGGAGACCGAGTTGAAGAAACTCAGAGTTCTGGGCGCTGGTGCCTTCGGTACCGTTTACAAGGTATGTGAACTAATAACTGCAGGCTCCACTGACCTTTGTTCCTCTTTCAACAAGCTGGGACATTTTGGACACAAAGACTCATCTGTTAATAATTGAAAATAATTGACTAAAGTTGTAGCTTCTAGGTTGCTATGGATATAAAATGCAAATAAAGGCTAATTTTTTTTTTGGTTCTTATTTGTTTCTGCCATGCCCCTCCTTCGGGACAAAACCTTTTTTTATGCCCCTCCCAACCTACACCCCCACAAATTGAAATACTACTGAGAACCTGATAACATGTATATTTCCATCTGTACAAACCACTGTATGAGCTGCTGCCACCTAGTGACTGGAGGCTTGTTATCATTCAAGCATTACAGCAGTGGTAGACACTTATGTCTGGCATATCATATTCCATTGAAAGCCACTCACGCCCCCCCCGTCACCGCACCCCTCTGCCCCCAGGGGGGCCCGCTCCACTATTTTAGAAGCACTGGTGTAGGCAAACATATTTTACACATTAGTTAACTGTTTCGACATTGTTTCAGGGTGTGTGGGCTCCTGACGGTGAGAACGTGAAAATACCTGTGGCTATTAAAGTGTTACGAGAGAACACCTCCCCAAAGGCCAACAAAGAAATCCTCGATGTGAGTGCCTGTGCAGGGACACACACACGTGCAGGGACACAACTGCACCAGCTGCCTGTTTCTGTTCACACAGTTCCCCTTACATGAACGTGTTTGCTCCGTCTCCTCCCAGGAGGCGTACGTGATGGCCGGGGTGGTCAGTCCTTACGTGTGTCGTCTTCTGGGGATCTGTCTGACCTCCACTGTGCAGCTGGTCACTCAGCTGATGCCGTATGGCTGCCTGCTGGACTACGTCAGAGAAAACAAGGACCGCATTGGCTCCCAGTCCCTGCTCAACTGGTGTGTCCAGATTGCAAAGGTAGGTGTCGGGGAAACGACGAACAAGAGTTGTTCCTTGGTTTTGATTTAGGATTCACCTTGTAACAGGAACCCCGGTGTTGGACTTTAGATTGATGGTACGGTCGATACCAGGGTTTTTCAGAGCTACAGCGGAACATGCTGAGATTTTGCTGTGTATCAACCTCTTTTATTCATCATGCTGAGATTTTGCTGTGTATCAACCCATTTAATTCATAAATATATATAAATTTATGTATGTGTATATATATTTATGTATGTGCATATATATGTGTGTATGTATATATATGTGTGTATATATATGTATTTATATATGTGCATATATATTTACATATATGTGTGCATATATATTTACATATATGTGTGCATATATATTTACATATATGTGTGCATATATATTTACATATATGTGTGCATATATATTTACATATATGTGTGCATATATATTTACATATATGTGTGCATATATATTTACATATATGTGTGCATATATATTTACATATATGTGTGCATATATATTTACATATATGTGCGCATATATATTTACATATATGTTCGCATATATATTTATGATTTATATATATGCGCGCATATATATATGTGCGCATGTATATTTATATATATGTGCGTATGTGTGTATATATGTACATATAAATACACATTTACATTTTATGAAATGTCCTCGTGTTTTCTCTAATCGTTGTTGTGTTTTGTGAAATGTTTTTGTGCTTTGACCTTAAGAGCCACTGTAGAAATGTATATTGTTGTTGACGTTTAAAGGTAATAAATTGAGATCTGGGTCACAGTCAACTACAACATTCTGATTTCTCAGTCTGGACACTGGCCTGTGGTAGTACGGCCGTAAAGTTTATCTGTTATTTTTCCTATTTTTATGCTGTGGTGGTGTCAACGCAGGATTGTAAAATGGTTTCAACATCTCTCTCTCTCTCTCTCTCTCTCGTACCTGCAGGGAATGAGTTATTTGGAGGAGGTGCGGTTGGTGCACCGAGATTTAGCAGCACGTAATGTCCTTGTGAAGAACCCGAACCACGTGAAGATCACAGATTTTGGCCTCGCTCGTCTGCTTGACATCGACGAGACTGAGTATCACGCTGATGGAGGAAAAGTGAGAAAAGGCTGTGACACCAGAAATGATAACAGTTCTTTCTTTTTTTAAAAAATTTTTAACCATTCCATCCACTCGTCTGCAGGTGCCAATCAAATGGATGGCTCTGGAGTCTATTCTGCACAGGAGGTTTACCCATCAGAGCGATGTCTGGAGCTACGGTCAGTGTCACTCAAATTTGTTATTGCTAGTTTAGGATTGTGTACTCTTACGCTTAGCAAAAGGAACTCAAATTACGACAAATCTTCTAAGATTCATAAGGAGGTGGAGGTGCCACAATATTTTGTTGATACCATAGTGTAGCGATTAGCACACCTCCCTCAGAGAGCCTGAATTCGATTCCCGGAGGAACCACATATTGGCGCCTGCAGGGGGCAGCATGTTGCAGCACATCTGCTTTTAAAACTAGAATTTCTTAAATATGGGACCAGTAATGTTCAAATTATTATTATTAGTAACGTTACGAGAACAAAAGAACAAACGTTTTTTAAAATAAGGTTGTGAGTTTGCATGAATAAAGGACTGGCCTAAGATGACTTCATAATATGAGCAGAAAGTAAAGTGAAACAAGACAAGAAAGGAGCCAGACTTTCTCACAACACACATCTAAACTTACGACTTTTCACTATTTTCGCAAGTCACAAACCTTCACGACCCAAGACAATAAACATTATTCGTAAACTCCTGAGAACCATGATGCGAGACGACCCCCCAAATAATCTCTTGCGACCCACCTGAGGGTCGCGACCCAGTCCTTGGGAAACAATGACATATACTATACTAATTAATACAGCTATAAAACTGTATAATTGAAATCTAATACAATTCTATAATTAAATTATATCAAAAATAATATACGGATAGAACTATGTTTATTTGTATTTTTGTATTGGACCCTCATGTGAGTGTTGGATTTACCATCTCACTCTGGTTGTAGTGGTCTCCTCTTGTATCATTAGGTCCTAGTGTCTGTGTTGGTGACTGTACCTCTGTATCTCAGGTGTGACTGTGTGGGAGCTGATGACGTTTGGAGCCAAGCCTTACGACATGATCCCAGCCAGGGACATCCCGGATGTCCTCGAAGGAGGAGAACGTCTTCCTCAGCCGCTCATATGCACCATCGACGTCTACATGATCATGGTCAAATGTCAGTTCCCAGTGTTCCTACCTAGTATCTGTGTACTATGAGTGTGAGATTCCCAATGTCTTTAAGCGTTTGTGTTGGTTGTCAGGTTGGATGATCGATCCAGATAGCAGACCCAAGTTCAAAAGTCTGGTGAACGACTTCAGTGTCATGGCCAGAGATCCTCCTCGCTATGTGGTCATCCAGGTGTGTAGACACCGGGTAACATGTAACATGTCCCTAATACAGTGATCCCTCTCCTATCGCGGTAGTTGCGTTCAAAGACCCACCGTCAAATGGGGAAAAATCGCGAAGTAGAGGCGAGATAGTTATATTATTTAAAGTGTATATTTACCCTTTATGAACCTCCCTCACACTTGTAACGGTCGAACAACAACAACAGTGCCCTCCTGTGGCCAACTTAGGTCATTACCCTACATTAATTAAATGCTAAGCATATAGTATATACAGTATGTCACGCATATGACATGTGGGTATCTTAGATTTCCCAACCTAAAGCTCATGTACCCGTACGTACTGTACATGGTTTTTTTTTCTATGTAGCTGTTGCAAAATGTCTTTTCGTATATTTATATATTGTGTTTTCCCCTTTTAGGCTAGAAATGATAATTCACAAAAATAATGAAAATATTGTACATTTTTTAAATTGCTGTAAAATTTCGCGATATGTGCGTAAATGTCGCAAGATCGGATTAAAAACAATCCGCGGTGTACTGAGGGAGCGAAAGGAGAACCGCGATACAGAGAGGGAACACTGTGCTATAAAATGCACTCGATATGCAAGATAAATTGCTCCTTATGCTAGCGTGTTTGCTAGCTAGCACCAAATGGTGCATCCAGCCTGTAATGTTCTTTTTACACTGCAGAATGATGAGCAGATGAGCATGTCCAGTCCCGTTGACAGCCAGTTCTTCCGCACATTAATGGAAGAGGAGGGGAACAACATGAGGGAACTGTTGGATGCCGAAGAGTATTTGGTTCCTCAGCCAAACACCTTCCCCAGGACTCAGGGAGACGGACAGTCCAATGGGCCATCGAGACATCAGTCGTACAGGGTGAGGAGCAGATGACCGTTTTACTGACACCAGACATTACCATATTCAAAAAGCCGCGTGATTTAGCTAGGGACGGCGCAATACAACTTTGGTCGTATCTGCCGATACCGCTATCAGTCTGACACCTTTTCCTCCAGCATGCCGCGAGATGCCGTTGCTAAGTTGATAGGGTCTCTGTTTACGACATGTCTGTAAAGTTAAGTTTAGCATTTGGTTTTTAGGTTATCAGATCATACGGGCTATAGGTGTTTTTTTGGTTTTTTTTGGATGTTCGATCCTGAAATTTTCACCAATATCGGACCAACACCGATCCCGAGTATCGGATCAAGCCACCTCTTGTTTTAATGTTTGGCGGCCAGATTCTTTAACATATTTTTATGCCATTTAGCATCTTCACTTGGCTAATCCAGAGTGTGACTTGTTTAGTTTTATCCTTTGTCCGTGCACAGTCGGAGTGTGACTTGTTTAGTTTTATCCTTTTTCTGTGCACAGTCGACGGAAAACGTTAATTCGTGCAAGGTTTCAAAGATAATTTCTAGTTTAGATACAGTTAGGTTAGATGAGGATGACATGTTTATGACCGGTGACAGTTTTTGGTGGCTTGAAAGTGATCAACTTAACCCGATTAAACATCCGAAATGTAATATTTTAAACGCAAAGTCATGGTCAAATGTCAGTTCCCAGTGTTCCTACCTAGTATCTGTGTACTATGAGTGTGAGATTCCCAATGTCTTTAAGCGTTTGTGTTGGTTGTCAGGTTGGATGATCGATCCAGATAGCAGACCCAAGTTCAAAAGTCTGGTGAACGACTTCAGTGTCATGGCCAGAGATCCTCCTCGCTATGTGGTCATCCAGGTGTGTAGACACCGGGTAACATGTAACATGTCCCTAATACAGTGATCCCTCTCCTATCGCGGTAGTTGCGTTCAAAGACCCACCGTCAAATGGGGAAAAATCGCGAAGTAGAGGCGAGATAGTTATATTATTTAAAGTGTATATTTACCCTTTATGAACCTCCCTCACACTTGTAACGGTCGAACAACAACAACAGTGCCCTCCTGTGGCCAACTTAGGTCATTACCCTACATTAATTAAATGCTAAGCATATAGTATATACAGTATGTCACGCATATGACATGTGGGTATCTTAGATTTCCCAACCTAAAGCTCATGTACCCGTACGTACTGTACATGGTTTTTTTTTCTATGTAGCTGTTGCAAAATGTCTTTTCGTATATTTATATATTGTGTTTTCCCCTTTTAGGCTAGAAATGATAATTCACAAAAATAATGAAAATATTGTACATTTTTTAAATTGCTGTAAAATTTCGCGATATGTGCGTAAATGTCGCAAGATCGGATTAAAAACAATCCGCGGTGTACTGAGGGAGCGAAAGGAGAACCGCGATACAGAGAGGGAACACTGTGCTATAAAATGCACTCGATATGCAAGATAAATTGCTCCTTATGCTAGCGTGTTTGCTAGCTAGCACCAAATGGTGCATCCAGCCTGTAATGTTCTTTTTACACTGCAGAATGATGAGCAGATGAGCATGTCCAGTCCCGTTGACAGCCAGTTCTTCCGCACATTAATGGAAGAGGAGGGGAACAACATGAGGGAACTGTTGGATGCCGAAGAGTATTTGGTTCCTCAGCCAAACACCTTCCCCAGGACTCAGGGAGACGGACAGTCCAATGGGCCATCGAGACATCAGTCGTACAGGGTGAGGAGCAGATGACCGTTTTACTGACACCAGACATTACCATATTCAAAAAGCCGCGTGATTTAGCTAGGGACGGCGCAATACAACTTTGGTCGTATCTGCCGATACCGCTATCAGTCTGACACCTTTTCCTCCAGCATGCCGCGAGATGCCGTTGCTAAGTTGATAGGGTCTCTGTTTACGACATGTCTGTAAAGTTAAGTTTAGCATTTGGTTTTTAGGTTATCAGATCATACGGGCTATAGGTGTTTTTTTGGTTTTTTTTGGATGTTCGATCCTGAAATTTTCACCAATATCGGACCAACACCGATCCCGAGTATCGGATCAAGCCACCTCTTGTTTTAATGTTTGGCGGCCAGATTCTTTAACATATTTTTATGCCATTTAGCATCTTCACTTGGCTAATCCAGAGTGTGACTTGTTTAGTTTTATCCTTTGTCCGTGCACAGTCGACGTTAATTCGTGCAAGGTTTCAAAGATAATTTCTAGTTTAGATACAGTTAGGTTAGATGAGGATGACATGTTTATGACCGGTGACAGTTTTTGGTGGCTTGAAAGTGATCAACTTAACCCGATTAAACATCCGAAATGTAATATTTTAAACGCAAAGTTTATTTCCTGGACAAAAAAAAAAAAAATCCCCATTTCACATCCTTTCTAATTCCTAATTTTATGCTGCTTTATTTTCACACAATTTCTCTCAGCAGAGCAGAGACCAGGGGTTAGATGTAGATCCTACAATGAATGGCGGCCCTCGTAGCATGTACTCCTCTCTAAGCACTCTGGGTCGCAGTCAGTACCCAACGCTACCACTGGGGGCCAGCACCTCAAACGGCTTTTGGACCCCTCAGTATTCCACACTGGTTCGCAGCCCCTCAGCCGAGGGCCAGTCTGACTCCGTCTTCCTCGACGGAGGGCCGGATGACCCTTCGCTGCCCCCAGCAAGTCCTGGGCGCTACTGCAAAGACCCCACGTATCCCGGCGGGAGCCAGGGAGACATTGAGACAGATGGGCCGAATGGGTTTCATCACACACTGCCCCGACAAAGTCACGGGTATAATCACAACCACGTAATTCCAGGTGAGCAAAAACGATGTTCATGTTGTATAAAAAAGGGACAGGTCAGATTGTTAACATTTTTATTCCGATTAGTCACCGGATAACTGTGGGTAATCATCATGATTAATCACGATTAATCGTGATTAATCATGATGAATTCCTAAATAGAGTTTGACCAAAAAAGTTTTTTTTCTGAGAAAAAAAAAAGAAAAATAGTTCACACCTGCTTTTATTTGTCACTAATCCGAATGATAGAATTATTGATATGGAAAATTAAGAAAAATATGCTAAATTATAACTCAGCTTCTTAGAGTTATTCAGTTGAAGTCATTACTGTAAGTCGATTAAATTAACGAAGTGGACTCGAAAGAGAATTCTTGGGAACCACTGATCTACAAAAACCATGTTAATATTCTCAATCTTATTAATCCCTCAAATGTTGTGTCCTCTTTTCCTACTCGATCAGAGTACGTAAACCAGGACGTCCAGGACTTCCGACCCGAGCGGCCCAGCACCCTGCCTCGGAAAAGCCGAGCAGACAGGCGACTCCCGAACGGCCTGAGCTCCGGTCACAGCGTAGAAAACCCCGGATACTTGGTCCCGGCGAACTCCACCTCTCCTGCCTTCGACAACCCTTACTATTTAGACCTTCTGGCTAAAGCCAAAGCAGTAGCCGGGGCCACGTCGAGCGAGGCGGCGTCGCAGAGGGACTCCAGAGTGACCAGGCCTCTGAACGGGTTTGTGACGCCCACGGCAGAAAACCCAGAATACCTGGGACTGGTAGACTCCTGGAGTGGGCTTGGTTGAGGGTTGAGGGAATGTTGGTGAACTCGAGGAGAGTCACAGAGTTGACCTCAGATGTTCTGCTGAGGAAAAAGGCATCAGTGGGGTGAAAGGGAAGATGGAGCTTTGTGGAGCAGTGTGTTTGGAACTGTGACGTGAAGAAATCCAAACCAGCTGAGGACGTTTGGCCAAAGTCCTCCCAACACCAGTTGTGGTACAACGCAACTCACAGCACGATGTAGCACTTACCTACCCCTCGTCTACGGCGGCGGCGTCCTCCTCCTCCCAGCGGTGTGTAACCACTCGGTGCCAAAATCAGGGTTGTTCTGTAAATAGCACCGCCGTTCTTCCTGTCGTGGTATAAAAAAAGTGTCTGAATTCAACATACGATTGTAGTCGTGCATTCTAATTTCCACGTAAACACGCGATTTTTTTTTTTACCGACTGTATATTTTGGTCACATGACCTGAGCGCCATGGGATTTCTAAGTGAAGACTCTCTTCCTTTTATTTTATAATCGGAAACACCGAGGTGGCAAACGTGACGTCTGTTCTTTTTACTTCCCCCGCGATGTGGCAAACGGACGCACGTTCGCGTCGGATTAGCACTTTGACGACGCGGGCTGCGCCGTACTAGAGAATTAAGGCCAGTTTGTGAGTGTCAGCCTGCAGCCCAGACTCATCTGACCACAGAAAGAGAGGCCTCCTGTTCACTGAAGACAGAGATGTGCTGTGCAGCGTCACGGATGTGCGTGCCCTCTGCACTGGTACTGCAGAGAAGATGGGAGTTTCAAGCGGCCAAAATCGCACACATTTGGTCAAAACTCAGAGTTCGACTCCGACGTCATGACACTATATCAGTGGTTCTCAATTATTTTCTGTCATGCCCCCCCCTTGGCGATAGGAATGCTGTCACATCTCCCCGCCCCCGGCCTTGATAACCTGATAACATGTATATTTCCGTCTGTACAAACCACTGTATGAGTTGCTGCCACCTAGTGGCTGGAGGCTTGTTATCATTCAGGCATTACAGCAGTGGTACACTTGCGTCTTGCGTGCCATATTCCATTGGAAGCCCCTCACGCCCCCACCCCTCCACTGCACCTCACTACGCCCCCTCAGGGGGTCCCGCCCCACTATTTGAGAAGTACCGCACTATATCGTAAATACATTTTTCCTCCTGACTCTTCACAGTGCTCACTTAACTTCAAAAATTTCGCTTGCAATTACATTTGCTATGCAGTGTAAATCAGTTTCTCGCGACATATTTTGCCCTTTCAAAACGTAAACTGATCATTGGAGAATACTAATCAAAGGGATGTCCGATAATATCGGCCAATCGATATGGTTGGCTCATTTTAGCATAATTATGTAACATCGGTAATAATCGTCATCGTTTTTTCCTCCGATAGTGAAAACCAGATAAAGCAATCATGATGTGACCTAAAAATAGTTTTGGAGTTAATCGGTATCGGTCGATATCGCAATCGGAAAAACCGTTTCGACAATATCGGTATATCGGATATCGAGGAAAAAGTTAATATCGGACATCCCTAATATGTACAGAAGCCTCAACAAATGTCTGAGTTCTGGCTTGTTGTTTTTGTTCTGGGAATATACGGCTTCTATTTTTTTTTTTGTTTTTTTTTTGGAACTCCTAGTAAACTCTACCTCCACGCTGGCTTGGGAGACAATTCTCTGGTGAATAAATCATTTGTTTAAACAATAGGGCATTTTGGTAGTAGTAGGAGTAACTACTTGACAACTGCTGATCAGATGGGATTCCTCCTCCTTAATAGGTTGGCTTTAGAACGGATTCTTTTCATTATATCTACAGCCATTTAATTTTAATTTTAATTTATTTTTTATTTTTATTTTTTAACTGCGATGTGCTGCAGTAGTCTTTTTGTCTGGGACTTGCTTGTGTTGCACGGCACTTGTAATGACATTTTGAGCACGTGAGGAGGCCAGCAGAATCTAAAATTTGGGTTAAGATTTTAAGCGCCATTAGTGGGACCACTTGTCTACGTTGAGCCCTGTGACCCCCTCCCATCCCCCTCCCATGAATGACACCCCTCAGCGACACTGTCACCACAGTGAGCCTGTTCCCCAGCTCAAGCAATATCTGCTGTTTACGACTTCCAAAAGTGACGATTCCTTCTGGTGAAAATATATATTTCAATATACGTGACAGTGCTTTTGTGTCACCATGCTGTTCAGTGTGATATTTGTGCGCTATCCGCAGACACTTCTGTTTGCGCCGTCTGAATAATCAATGCATGGCTCAAATTCCTCTCAGCGACAACACACTGGCGTCCCAGTAAGTCGTCAGCAGTCGCTTTTGAAGACCTTTTCATCCTCATGCTAACTAGTGTTGGGCTGCAGGAGGTCAGCGCCAGTCAATGAAGCCATTGTCCAAACTCCATGTCCTTGTTCAGAAGTCACTCTCCCATCTAACGTCTCACCCATTGATGCCGTCACAGCTTTGAGGACAGACAAGCAGAGTTAGTGTTTTCTTTCTTTCTTTCTTTTTTTTTTCTGCTGCTCGGCGGCAGAATCTTAGTGTTTGGCGCTCGAAAGCATTTCCCGCTTTATGTTCAGCCCCAAACAAACAGCGGCTTATCGTGCAGCTGCAGGCGACGACTACTGAGTTTCTATGTCTTTTCCTTAAAAGGCGGGGGGTCTTGTGTGAGAGACCAGTGTTTTCTCAGAGAGTGTCGGCACAAAAGGAAATTTGTGTTTGACGCATTTGAATAAATATGTGCAGCTTTACATCAGCCTTGAATCAGTTTGACACTTTAAGCCCGATTTTAATTCACACGTTTCTGACAAAGGTTTAAAAATACAACTATCTAATATAATGTGTTTTATATTTATATAAATATATACTTATATTTCACTGAAATATATAAATATACATGTATATTTCACTGAAATAAATAAAAATATTTATATATATGTGAAACTTCAGTGAAATATATATATATATTCACTGAAAAATATATATATATATTTTGCTGAAATTTTTTAGTTTCACTAGAAAGGCATATTTCTTAAGGGATATGATTTAAGGTTTCTTTTTTTGTACTACAATAGAGGTAGTGACTTCCATTAAATACATTTTCTTCCACCACAAATTGCTGATTTGCCCAATTTCTTGTTGATCTTAATATTGATGTATAAAAACTAAAATGAATAAGTAATCCCGTGTGAGATATGAGGATGTTCCTTAAACTGCAATGTGATAGAAAACCCTATTATTTTTTGTTATCACTGAAATATAAGGACATTGTTCCGTACGTTTTTTTTCTTTAATGCATAGTAACCATCTACTCTACACGAAGGTGGTGATGGGTGCCATCCATTGAAGCATCGAACAAAAAAACAGTCAGGAAGATTGAGTGGAATTGGTTAAAGTTGGAGATGGACAATTTTGAACTCTGAAAATCCTGATATTGTTTCTGGTTGTAATAATACCTAGTTTGGTCAGTATGTCTCACCGTGTAAATGTGTATAAAAAAACAGTGTATGTGTATAGCAGTTCAACAATCACTGTGTGTGCTAATTGGGGGTTTGGACTTTGGAGCACGGTGACCAGTGGGTTAACTTTGGAGTTGGTGAATACATTAGAAAATATTGTATGAAGAACTGGCTGTTTTATATGGAATTGTTGTTCGGATACATTGTGTTCAATCATAAAACATTGAAACTTGAAACTTATGCTATACGATTATTGAAATTACATTTGTGTGGACATTTACAAAAAAAATACAAACAAAATCAGTCGCATTTTGTATTATTGAAATTACATTTGTGTGGACATTTGAAAAAAAAATACAAACAAAATCAATCGTTTTTTTTCTCTGCTTCAACATTTACAATATTTACCATCAACATATCGCATTTTGTATATAAAAAAAAACATAAAACAAAAACATTTTTCCCTCCATTGGTGGCAGTGTGTGTATACATATTTGTACATATAATCACAAATATACAAAATGGCTGTCCCCCAAGTATCAAAAAAACCTTCAAAAGTGTCACATTTTGACTAATTTGATATATTTTTGATAACGTAGGTGACCAAATGTAGTGCTCAGAGAGTTAGCCTTATAGTTAAAGGAGCGCAGTTTGAGATTTTCCTATTATTGAACCTTAAGCTTTATTGTACTTTAAACTAACAAGAAATATATTAAAACAAAGTGAACAAATGTAAAGAATGTTGCAACCTGTTGTCTAGTTACTTTTTGTCTTGTTGATAAATTAAGATAAGACTGGTTCTGTATTCTTGTTTACTGCATTGTTTTCCTGGGTGCCTTGAACACACCACGGTGTGGCGCATGAGCATTATGTTCTGTCCTGACCTGTCGTTAGGCGTCGGTCAGGGCGGCTTATATTTTGCCGTGTTTGGTGTAATCACAAATGGAGCAGTCGGTAGGTTTTGACGTGAGCTGTGTCCAACAATGTTGATTGTATCTCCTTGTTGGTTTGGACACCTGTCGCCATGGTGACTTCAGTTCACCTCGCGTCACCACTGACTCATCAAGGTTGACAGCAGGGCAACTTTTGATGGATCGCTGAATGGCAAATGAGCATTTTGTGTTTGTATTCATTCGCCCTTTGGCGAGCTACTTTGAAGGAGGTGGCTAGCTACTGGTAGCTCACAAGTGACCACTGAAAATCCCTATGGTACAATCATCTAGTGAGTAGGTCCTACACTACACCTCTAGGTTTTCCTAAACCTACTGTTAAAAATCCCCATATATATAGACACTATTAGAATGGTATGTATGACAAAAAAGAAAAAAAAAAAAAGAAAACACACAAAAAGCAACATCCCATAAAATCTGTTCAGGTCAGGACTCAGCTCTCTGTCCCCATCTACAGGAAAAGAACATTCTTTTGACGACCAAAAGTCCAAGTTTTACAGGGAGCACCAGGTGACATAAGTGGGGCTAATTGCAGGCACGTGTGAGTGTGATAACAAATTACCCCACACAGCAGACAGCAGGAAGAGACAGACCTGACACACACCAGCCAGAAAATGCATAATGAAGAAGAAAAAAAACCATATATAAGTGGCTCTGGAGTATAAGTCGCACCAGCCAGATGGCCACAATAGTCCACGAAATGGTACACGTAGTCAAATGTGAACTGCTGGCAGGCAGTGACCACCGAAGTCCAAAAGGTGAATCCAGTGCAGCGTGCTCCCCTTGAATGAACCAATCGTGACAATCCAAAAACCCTGAAACCAAAGGAAACGAGAACAGAACATTGGCTTTTCTATTCTCAAAAATATGAAGTTAGCAGAGAGGGGTGTATCCCAGGGGTCTGAGAACAACCATTTAATCAAATTTGAAGCTGGTTTAAGCTAAATGTAAATT